AATGTCAATATTTAAGAAAGTACAGTGCAATTTAATATAATTAAGAAATGATTTTGTATCTTGTAAACTGTTGACATTTTTAAAGATATAAGCTCATTCTGATGTTACATTCATCAAGAGCTTTCATTTGAGTACCCACATGCATTTTCATATATTTTTTATATATACATATATATAATATATATAAATATATGAAAAATTGATGTTGATACTCAAATGAAAGGTCTCAATGAGTGTAAAATCAGGATGAGCTTATATCTTTGAAAATTTCAATATTCCACAAGATACAAGGTCATTTCTTAATTATTGATATTTTTTAAAATATAAGCTCATGCTGATGTTGCACTCATCAAGAGCTTTTATTCGAGTACCCACATGCATTTTGATATATTTTTCGTATATACATATATATAAATATATAAATGTATGAAAAACTGATGTGGGTACTCAAATGAAAGGTCTTGATGAGTATAACATCGGGATGAGCTTATATCTTTAAAAATATCAATATTTTACAAGATAAAAGGTAATTTCTTAATTATATATCTAGAGTCAAACAACTAGGCCAGTGTTAATAACTGGGTCTTTTACCGTAATTTAAATGTTATAAAAATTTTTAGTTGCCTATTAAATTAAATTAAAATTTAATTTATAAAAAAAATTCCAGACCTTTTGGCGGAAAAGACTGCGAGGGACCAAGCAAAGAACTAATAATTTGCAACCAAGAAGATTGCCCGTTAAAAAACGACCCGCGAAGAGAACAATGCACTCGTCTAACCTCGGAAGCAGTAGGTATTAGAACTGGTGACAGTAAATTACGGGCAAGCTGGGTGGCCCATTACATTGCGGATGATAAACTGAACTGTCGGGTGATATGCAGAAACTCGGGGACCGGGAGCGTTTACATCAGCAGTGAGTTTGTCTCAGATGGAACGCCTTGCTCCTACGAGTCGACAGACATTTGCATTAAAGGGAGCTGCTATTCAATGGGCTGCGATCGGGTGTTGTACTCTGGAAAACGGCTCGACGCTTGTGGAAACTGCGAGGGAGATAATTCAACTTGTACTTCTATCAGCAGCAACTTCCAGCGGAAAATTCGCCGAGGTATATAAGTTGCCGCTTCTTATACTTAAACTATAACAATAATGTGTGAGAATGTATAAAATTTATATGTAGGGTAATCAATAATGCAATAATTGTATTTTCAAGCGTGATGTGCAAGTACTCGTGTAATATCTTACTAAGTTAAAGCCGAAGTTTGTCTTTTAACAAACATTAGCGTTGAGGTACCTTATACCCACCGCGAGTATAACTTCGGAGGAACTTTTCGATAACTCCGAGCTACCGAGAGATTATTGAGCGCGATTGTCATGTCCCCAGGGAGTTTAATTTATACAATATCGCTAAGATAACTAGCTGTTTGCTCAGTTGTTATATTTCAACTAGATAGTAGATATTGGTTTTATTTTTATTGATTTTTCAGCTACTACCAGGCTTGCGATTGTCCCAGCAGACTCCTACGATATCTCTATTGAGGTAAAATTGATTTGTACCCGTAATCAAACTATTAAACTGATGTTCCGAGATGGAAAGCGCAAAAAACACGCAGTTGATTTTTTTTTTGATGACGGAACCACCGAGGCGATGATTATCGTCGAGGGAACCGGCTTTAGGATTAAGAAAATCAGGGATTTATTTAAAATCAACGGGCGAGGTCCTACTTTGGCTCCTGTTACTGTATCGGTAATGAATTTGCAATTTTCAGTAATTTTTTTGATAAAAGATAAAATGCTCTATTTTCAGATACATAATTGAGAAATAACCTTGTATCATGTGAAATATTGACATTTTTAAAGATATAAGCTCATCTTTATGTTACAATCGTCGAGACTTTTCATTTGAGTACCCACATCAATTTTTCATATATTTTATATATTATATATATTTTACAAATACCATATATGTAAAATATATGAAAAATGCCATGTGGGTACTCAAATCAAAGCTCTTGATGAGTGTAACATTGGGATGAGCTTATATCTTAAAAAATGTCAATAATTAAGAGCTAACTTTGCTATCTTGTCAACTAATCATAATTTTAAAAATATAAGCTCATTCCAATGTTACATTCATCAAAATTTTTCATTTGAGTACCCACATCATTTTTTCATACATTTATATATTTATATATATGAATATATGAAAAATATATCAAAATGCATGTAGGTACTCAAATGAAAGCTCTTAATGAGTGTATCATCGAAATGAGCTTATATATTTAAAAACGTCAATATTTAAGAAAGTACAGTGCAATTTAACAAAATTATTTAATAAAGCAAAATTTTATTTATTTATAATTCACAAGTCACATAGTGACTGTGCAAAGTTGCTAGTTTATTATTATTATCAATAATAATTTATAAAAATTTTTTTATCAAACAAAATATTAAAAAAGTAAGTAACCAAGAAAGTAATTTTGGAAAGTTTCATTGTCTTGAATCAAGTAAAATTTACTTATTTCTTAGTTTAAGAATTTTTCTACTCAAATTAAGAAACTAAATTTCTTCAAAATTATTTACTTGATTCAAGTATTTTTCTGTGTAAAATAAGTGTCTCTTTTTTTCAACAATGAAGTAAATGTTGTACTTTTTTTTTAAAGATTAAGGTTCCGGAGTACCGAAGAAGCGGCGCGGTTTTGATTGATTTCCGATACGTAATTGAGAGGAGAGAAGAACGGAGTAATTATTCGTGGTTCTCCGGAGGATGGAGTCCGTGTTCTGCGAGCTGTGGGGGAGGAGTTCGATACAGGACTGTGGCCTGCAAGAACGAGAAAACCGGGAGCGTAGTTAGCAAAAAAAAGTGCCTGTTGATAATGAAGCCAGTGCAGCAGATGGAGAAGTGTAACACGTTTAGGTAAATTATTTTATTGTCGGTGAATTGGTTGATTGATTGATTGATAAATTGGGCGCAGTTGCCAGTTTAAGTGGATCACCGGGCCGTGGGAGGGCTGCTCAAAGAGCTGCGGATCGACAGGTGTCCAGCGGAGGGAACTTTATTGTGTTCACTCATCGTTTCCCGATAATAATGTTACCAATATAAATAAACAGCTGGTGTATCGAGCAATGCTATCTCACGGTATTTGCAAAGCGTATCAAGCGCCGGTAAATAAACAAAACTGCAATCGGTTTCCTTGCCGAGTACGAGGGTACTGGCTCTACAAGGGATGGTCCCAGGTAAATATTTGTCTTTTTATATTTTGTAGTTTATAAGCAGGATAATGCTCAGAGTAAATAGTATTACAATAAACAATCCGCTGTTGGTAAATATTCATTTTATTTTTTTATTTTGCAGTGCCTACAAGCTTGCGGTCATAGCTCGCAGTCACGAGTGCCTCGGTGTCTACCACAAGACAAAGATTCGTTTGATTGCCGTCATAATACTCAACCGAATGAATTACAGGCTTGCAAAGATAAACTCGACAGTAATAATAATAGTAATAACCATAACAGTTACTGTAAAAAAATATGTAGGAGAGATGAAAGAAGCTACTGCGTTTAGGGAAAAATTTTTTTCCTCAAAATTGTCATGTGTGTTCATAATACGCTTTTATGTATGTAATAAAAAAAAAAATACTGTAATTTTATCACCTGGATTATTAAATTTAGGCTTTTAATTTTGTCGTTATGGAAATTTGGAAAGTAGAGAGCGCGGTATTTTAATTCAAGAGGAAGATAACACTGAAAAAAAAAGTTTTTTTCCACCTACACACACTGATGCAAAAATTAACTTGACTCAAGAGCCAAAATCTTGAACCAAGAATACCATTTTGAAAAAAATGATTTTCTTTGGCCAAGAGAATAATTTCTTGAGACAAGAAAAATTTACTTAAATCAAGAACAATTTCTTGACTCAAGAAAATCATTTTCATCAAAATGGTATTCTTGGTTCAAGATTTTAACTCTTGAGTCAAGTTAATTTTTTTATCAGTGCAGAAAAAAAATGTTCTTGAATCAAGTATATAATTTTAAAGAACTTAATATTTTTGATTTGAGTAGAAAAATTCTTGATTTGAGGAAATTTTTCTTGATTCCAAAGTTTTTTTCCTACACTATAAAGTATAGTAGTTTTTAAAAAACTCGGTTTCGTCCCCTTATTAAAAAAAAAGATTTGAAAAGATTCACTCCAAATTTTTGAATCTTTTTAAATCGTTTTAATATTTTTAAATCTTTTTTTTTTAATAAGGGTCTTTAGCTGAATACCAAAATAAAAATATAGCCAACTTTATATCATTTGACAGAGATGCAAATAATGTCTTTATAATACTGTGGATCTTTTTTATTATAATTAATAAATGAATTTATCAATTATAATTAAATTAAAAAATTTAATTAATTATAATTAGTCATAATAATTGAATTAAAAAGAATTTTAATTAATAATTAATTAAATCATTGAAAAATTAAATTTTTAATTACGTAAATCCCATTCCAGTAACTTTTTTCATACCCAAGAATTCATCCAAATTATATCAATTGTAATACAGCTAGGCAATTTTTTAATAAATTATTATGAATCAGCACAACTTTTTAATGATGTAAACAAACTAAAAATACCAATTTTTTTATATTAAGAAACATATATTAAATATAAAAAAATTTGGATAAAATGGAAAAAAACTTTTTTTTTTCAGTATAAGTTGGATATTCTAGATTTTCTTTTTATTTTTCATTTAAAGTTTTACAATGTTTAATGACAACAACTGCTAATTGCGACGTACCTTTTAAATAAATAAAATTTAAAATAACATTAAATAATCCAACATTATATTTATTAATAATCTATCGAGCTTTTGTAAAATCATGCATTTGTTAATGAGTTAGACGACATATAAAACGATTTTTAATTTATATTTGTATATGCTTTGTCAATTTATCAATAAAAATTAATATATAAATTATGTCGCTTAATTACCATCGATATGTTTGATAATTTATTTATTTATTTATTAATTACAATAATTATTTATTAAATATTGCATAAAAATCGCGATCTCAGGCCAGCAATCGGCCACAAATATATTTATTTATTTATTTATATATATGTATATTTCCACATTTACAATTAACGAGTAAATTAATTAATTTATAAATTAATTAATAACTCCGTATTGTCAATTTATGAACGATCGTAATATAGGCGGTAATTATTTATATTTTAATTTAATTCACCAAATAGACATCAATTAAAACCGCGTAATTATATATTATTAGTCGTATAAATATGATCGTTATTATTTATTATTATTATTATTATTATTATTATTATTATTATTTTTAAAACCGCCTCGAGGCCTACTGTACCAGTTAAAACTTAAATTAACAGTGAGTAATTACTTCTACTAACTAATATAAGCTTAGGTAATATATAATAGTAATAGTGTTTACAAAAATATCAATTTGGATGCGACCTGCTTGCACTTTAACAGGCAGATATTATTATATATTTCTTTTAAATTATCTTAGCAAAACTTTTTAACAATTAATAAATAATATTAATATTAATATTTATTTTTTTATAATTATTGAGTGCCATTTTTTATAAATCTTAGGAAGCTTAGATGTATTGGCTTTTATAGTTCTTACAATTAGTAATTACCAGAACTATTAACGATAATATATATATATATTTTTTTTTATTTATATTTATATTCATTTATTTATTTATTTATTTTGGTATGTGGTAACGACAAATTCGTGATTATTTGATACACATGTACAACGACTCGCATTATTATTATTATTATTATTATTATTATTATTATTAATTATTTTAGTCAGCATTTAATTGCTTATTTTAACAAACCGCGTCTGCAAATTACTATTGCAATGACATTGAAATTATCTGTCAATTTTTTTTATTTTTATATCAAATAAATAAATTAATAAAATAAAATTTAAGTTAGCCAATATTTAAAAATTAAAAAAAATTTTTTTTATTTAAAAAATTAAAAAAAAATTTCATTCGTAAAAAAACTTTAAAAATTGTAAGTGCAATTTTTAAAAAATATTTTTTAGTTCCAATTTAATAAATAAAAAAAAATCAAAAAATTAAAAATGTCGGCTAACTTTAGTATTAGATTAATATTAATAATTAATAATAATTATCAATAATAATAATTAATAAATTGAATTTTTAATTTTGTAAAATAAATAATAATAATAAAGTTAGCCGACATTTTTAATTTTTTTATGTTGCTTAATTTATTAAATTATAAAACTAAAAAAATATTTTTAATAAATTGCACTTATAGCTTTTTAAGTTTTTAATAAATGAAAAAATTCTTTTTATTTTTTTTGTAATAATTCTTTAATAAAAAAAACCCTAAAATTTTTATATGTCGGCTGACTTTATTTTTATAAATAAATACCTGTCAATTTTTTTCTCATTTTTTCTTGATATAATTTCTTACAAAACTTATCAAACATCTGAATTAATTTTCACAAACTTGCACGAATTTTGAAAAGTACATTTTTATTAATTAACTTACTAAAAACTGATATTTTTTTTAATTTCAAATGTCACGCAATTATTTATAAGAGTATATTCCGAAATATATCACTAGTAAACTCTAAAATTTTAATCAGCTGTCAAAAAAGCTCTAGTCACAGCGCCTCTGGTGGCCAAAGCGGCACGTACAAATTTTTAAATAAAGCCACCAGTTTTGGCCGATAGAGGCGCTGTGGCTCACTCCAGTTGTAACGTATTTTTCGGAACTAACGTCATTCCAATTTTGAAGAGTCATTGCAGCGGAAGAAACAATAAATATCTTACACTAATAATTACTATTTATACATTAGACGTTAGTCGATAATATAAATAATCAATAATCAATAAAGATAAACAAAATAAAACTTAAATGTTAATAATTGTTATTTGGTGTAACGCTACACTATAAAATAATTTCCGACATAAAAAATCGTGGAAGACTTTCAAGCTATTAACGTCTACTTGACAAACAATCGAAGTAAATTAATTATTACAATAATTATAATTTATTAATGACTTTTTTTAATTAATTATTTAATATTTAATATTAAATTAATTAATTATTTAATATTTAATATTTAATATTTAATATTGAAGTTTGTAAATCTAACAGCGGTACTCTATCTTCCTGGTCTCTTTAGGAAGCTTAACGGGGACGTTTTTGGGCAAGCGGTAGTTGCTCCTCGTGGGCGCGGGCCATCGAGGACTTGCCTCGTCTCACAACCGCTCGACGTAGTTTCCCGGGAAAGTGCCAAAGTACCCAGTTCTTTGGCTTGAACCAACGAACCACCCGTCGTCGCACTTTTCTATCACGAACACCGTGTCGTTCTCTTTCAGCTCCAGCTCGTCCTCGTTCTGCGGCCGGTAATTGTACAGCGCCCGGTACCTGAATAATCAAGCGGCACAATACAATGTAAGGAAAAAAAAAACGAAAGGTAAATAAATAATTATTAAATAATTAAGTTAAGAGTTGACAAACAAAGAGATAACGAAAAAATGAATCGAAATAACTCACGGCAGCGTATCCGAGTGTGTGTCGATGTGCAATGTTTCGTTGACAGGTGCAACGTGCAATTTGTTGCGTTCAGTGACACCAATGCGTGGCTGCAAACCCAAACGATTCATTAAACCACTAGCCCCACAGATTTTCATTCTTTTTTTTTTTATTTTTTTTAAAGTTACAAATTTAATGACGTTAAAATTTTAGCAGTCATTTGACAATTTTTTTATTTTATTTCACAATTATTTTTAAAAAATTGCATTTTTAATTTCTTTAAATTTCTATATTTCAATTTTTTTTCTTATTTTTTATCGAATTATCAATTACTTAACAATTTTTTTATTTTATTTAACAATCAAATTTTTTTATAAGACATTACATTTTTTAATTTTTAAAAAATATTTAAATTTCAATTTTTTTTTTGTCATAATTTATTTCTGAAAAAATTATTAAATATCTGCTAAATTAATTTTAATACAAATTTGATATTAAAGTTAGCAATTACTTGACAATTTTTTAATTTTATTTAACAAATAAAATTTTTTAGAAAAAATTATTTTCAATTTTCTTTATTTCATTTTTTTTTATGATAATTTATTTATTAAAATTATCAAACATCTGCTAAATTAATTTCAATATAAATTTTAATTCATTTTTACTAACGCTAATTAATTATAATTTTTAATATTTACCAGAGATATATATTGCGGCTCGGTAGTACTCGTTTTCACGGGTATCGAGGGTGTGTAGTGATGAGGTCCCATGCTCAATTTCCCGCTGGAAGTTCCATTGGACAGCATGCTGTGAGCCGCTGGAGAAGCTACGGGTTTGCTAGACACCGGAGTTTCTGTAAGTTTTTAATAATTTATAATATATTATATTTTTCTCTGAATTTTTTTAGAATAATAATAATAATAATAATAATAATAATAAATAATAAATAATGATGAGGGGGGTCATTACCGGGTCGGTGTTGCCCTGGCTCCATGATAATTTCGACATAAGTAACCGGGAATATGCCCTTGCGGTTCCCGATTCTCCCCTCGAACCAATTGTCGTCGACTCTTCTTGTTAGAACAACGAGCTCTCCTTTTACCAAAGATAATTCCAAGTTTGTTTGGGCGATGAAATTGAATCTTGCGCGAGCTTGACCCTCGTACGGTTTTTTTGGCGTCGATCTCATTCCTTCGAAAGGAAGAACCTGAAATTTTAATCAGTGTTTTTTAATAATTTAAATTTAAAATAATAATAAATTACAAAATTTGTTTTACATTTTCATGATTAGAAAATGTAAAATATAACGCAGGAAATAATTTAATGTCTCTTAATATTTATTGAGATAAATTTTGTTAGGTTCATTAATAATTAGAATGATTTTCAAATATTAAACAATATTGATTATTGATTTTCCAAATTTACTTAATTAATCAATAAGGCATTGTTGAATATTTAATAGAACTTTAGTCGGAAGACAATTTAAAGTTAAAGCGAATGAGAATCTATTTAAAATTGTTTCTGTTAAATTTTCAATTAGATTTTTTAAAAAATTAAATCACCAATAATATTTTTCAAATTTTAATTTCAATAATAATGAATTATTAAAATAATTAGTCAAAGTTTTGGTAAGACTTTAAAAAATTTAGATTATTTGAAATAAAAAAAAATTCTTCTCATTTATTTTATTTCAGCTTGACATATTTGAGCTCTAAAACAAAAATAGTGTTTCATTAATTCAAACATACAATAAAATTTATTTACCTCGACGTAATTGAGAGGAAAAAGACCGACCATGGCATTATGTTCACCTTCGTACCAATTTTTATCAATTTGCCGGCGAATGAGAATTATGTCACCTCGCCGGAATGACAATTCACGCGATGTCTGTCCCACAAAATTGTACATCGCTCGCGCGACAAGCCGCGGCTCGGGAGTTTGCTCTTGAGATCTGCTGCGGTAGCTCAGGTCGTCCAGAAAATCGTCATACCGATTCAGTGGAATCGGGGATTTTTGCGATGGTCTATAAAAAAAGCAAAAAAAAATTATCAGAGCTAATTTTTATTTAAATTATTTTACTGCTAGAATATCACGTAAGATTATTTCTCGTCTGCATATTTAATGTAAACATTGCTCCATATTTTTTCACCCACCACCCGCAGGGTTAATAATTTAGCAGCAGTGAATTTTAAATATTCAATAAGAATCCACAATGTCTCTCAAATATTATATTAACTGTCAGGCTAGCGAAAATTAATCAAACATTGATAAATTAATTATTTAGGTGACATTTTACCTATCTAAAATCTCACATTTGATCTTTAATTATTTATCAAAATGAAAATAAAGTTCTAATTTAATAATTAATAATTAAAATTAATAATTAGGAGTAAAGATATGACTTACATGAAATTATCAGTGTGTCGACGGGAATCGATGTCATGAAGTTCCTGGAGATACTTCCGTCGTCTCTCCTCCTGATAAACGCGGCGCATGTTCTCGGCACTCCGACGAGCGAGTTCTTCTTCACTGAGAATTTCCTTAGCTTCCGTGCGGACTGGAGAACGATAGTGAATCGTCACCTCACCCTCGACATATCTTCTCGGTGATTCTGCACAAGACAAATTATTTTATTTCCTCCTTTCCTTCGCAATACACCCACAAACTTCTCAATCTCAACCTCTGCGCACTCAAACCCACATAAATAAATAAATAACTAGACAAATAAACGAATAAATAAAAAATAGTGAAACGACGTTAATTAGGATTACTACGAATCGCGTTTGAATAACCCAGTTTCTCGGTTGGCTTACTATTAGTTAACGCATTTAGTTCCCATGGCTTCTCTTTCTTTATGTTACTCCAACTCAAACTATAATTACATTTACACAAAGCTTTTTAGTTTTTAGTTTTTATTTTATTACTGTTATTATCATTTCAACAAACATTTTTTGTTCCGCCACCTTGGAGTTTTGAACCCTTTAATTCTACATTTGTACCTACGCATGTCGTACAATATAAATGTTTCAATCGTTTTTCATTTTAAATTCAAAGCTTTTAGCGGAAAAAATTTTTTATATCAAAAGAAATAATTTCAATTGGTTCTTTTTATTTTAATCTATTGATATTTTGCAAGCGGAAAAATGTTTTTCAAACTGAATCGGTGAAATGGTCAGTTAGCTTGTTTACTCGCTTGTAATTTGATTTTTTATTGTTTATAGGACAATTTGTTGACTAAATATCACTCGCTAAATCAAAATTCATACTTTTGTTTTTATAGTTATTGATATTTTTGTTCATAATTTTGAAATAAATCCTTTGATCATTGTTATATAAAAAAATTCAAGCCAAAGTGCGTACCGATAGAAGAATTTTTTATAATTGAAAATATTTGCTAATATTTAACAAATCATTTATTAGAGACCACTTTTTAGTATTAAATAAATATTTCTTAGTATTTAAAATGATTTGTTTGTATTTAATAAATTTGATATTTATTTAATAAATATTTTTAAATACTAAGAAATATTTGTTAAGTACTAAAAATTGGTCTCTAATAAATGATTTGTTAAATATTATAAACTATAAACAAAACTTTTTATTAGTGCGTTAAAAAAATAATTGAATTAAAAATTTTATTTAATAATACTAAAAAATTTATTCAAAAATAATTTTAAAAATTTCTAATTGTTAAAAAATTTAATTTATATTTTTTTATAAATTTGCGATCCCAATTCTAGCCAACTTTTTATGATAATACCGAAAAATTTTCTAAAATATTACTCTTGTAAATTCTCCATCACACCTCCGAAAAACTTTAAATTTAAAATTTTAAATTAAAATATTCCAGTGTCTCTATCTAGAGCATTTCTCAAAAAAGTTAGTAAAAACATATATGAACCCTAAGAACTTAAAGATTACCGCGTTATATCACGTCTGATGAGAGGATATAAAAAGCAAACTTTTTCTTATCGCGTTCTCCGAGTGCATGTGTATACATAAACACAGAGAAGCATTATTCATTACTTATAATAGTGAAAATACTGTCGGCTATACGAGCTCGTGAATGAAACATCACACGGTTTTCACTTAACGATTATTACATCACTTATATTTATACTTTCCTCTAGGCTCTTCTTTTTTATTGCTCAATAAAGCCCCGTCGGTTTAAAAATATTTATTGCTATCTAGTCCCAATTTACCATTTCATTAATAACAACAATATTAAATATAATACATTATATATCATAACCATAAACTATTTCCTATTCCCATCAAGTCACGCGGAAAGTATAAATTTTAAAAACTAGGCCAGAATATTTCATTGTAAAAATAAAAATAAACTCGAGTGTACTTGAGTGTTAACGTGAAACTGAATACTCGACATAAAAAACAGTTCTGCTAGTGTAGACCCTGATGACAACTATCTACTCGTTCCAGAGCTAACAAATACAAGTACTAAATAAAGTACAATATTTTTTTTTTTAAATTCGCGATCATGTGACCGGAGCAATAGCGGTACAGAGTAAGTAGTTATGCTCGAGAACGCATCCTATCGATGTAATAGTGTATTCAAATGTACTGACTGTACGGAATGGGTCCGTAGACGAATGGAAGCGTGGTTCCGGTTCCGGGTGTCGAGTCAATTGACTTTCCGCGGTCCGTGATCTCCGAACCGTCTCTATCACTCGAGCCATCGGAAATAATTGAGTTGCTGAAGCTGCTGACCAGCTGCGGAGACCTCAGATCCTCGTTGAATTTCTCCAGGTCCATCTCGAGCTCGCGCAGGCAAGAGTCCGGGGACAAGCTCATCGTCACTGACTCGTCATTTAAAAATTTATTCTTCCTTAGAGGCGCTGGGGGTGGAACCGGCGAAGGTGAAGAGTCTTGAACCCTAGCATAGGCAGCGAAGACCTTATCATAGTCAGAATGAGGTCGATTGGCTCCCTCAAAGGGCTCCCTCAAAGAGCTGTTTTTAAACCCAAGGACGAACTCCACGGAATTATCAAAATCAACTCGTGACTTGCGTCCATTGCTGCTGACCGATTGATTGCTCTGGCTGGTGAGGGTCTCGGTGCTACCGAACCCGCTGGTTACGTGGCTACTCTGCTGAGTATCCAATTCCAATCGGGTTTTCATAATACCCCCCAGGTTGTCTGTATCAGTTACGTCAGTGCAGCCTTGAATGCTCTCGCTCGGAGTCTTTGCTTTGGCTTTAGCTTTGGCTTTGCCTTCAACTTCAGCAAATATATCTACATCTTCATTCTCGTCTGCCAGATTAGTATTACCATCAGAACAACCAAAGAACCGCCTTCGCAACAGTCTGTTATGCTGGAATATCTCGTGGAGCCGGTCTCTGCTTCCGCGAAATTCCTCTGATCCAGGATTAAATAAGATATCGCCGGCTTTTGGATGCTCTGAGCGCCAATGGGACGCTCTAAGGCTTCTATTATCATCGAAACTTCCCGAGTCTTTGGCATTAGTATTCAAAAATGCGGAGTTTTTTCTGAGTGGGGAGGTGTGACGTGTGTCGTCACTTTCTTCACACACTTTGTCAATGTCAGGGGCACTGCTGTCACCAAAGTAATTTCGCTCGAACTCTGTTCGCGGTTTCCAACTTTGGCTCCACCGTTTGTTCGCACGATAATGATCCTGGTGATAATGATGATGATGATGATGATGATGATCAACTGGAGAAGAAGAAGAGGGAGAAGGAGACGAAGCTGAACTATGGCTTGTCATCTGTCTGGATGCTGTTGTTGCTGTTGCTGTGTCCTCAAGTTTCTGAGGGCAAGCTCCACCCAGTGATTTCATTCTCTGGAGATTATTGATGTCGTATGTGAGGGCCATCCATTCCGGGCTACGCTCTAGATCTTCCACCCGAGCCAGAATTGGAGCTCGGCATCTCGACGCGGCACTTGCAATCATTTTTATTATTGTTACTAATAAAATTGTTTTTTATTATTTGATAAAACTCGAGTTGAGACACAATTAAAATCACACTTGACACTTTGACATTTTAATTATCGATTTCCCTTTGGGTGATATGGCGGAACGTGTGTGTGCGATCCGCAGAGTAAGACTCGCGAGACTGGTCAATCTTGAGAAGAGCACAAGGCCTTCAGCCTTACTTGTTCGGAACAATACGAAGACAATGGCCTCTGTTAGTGTATAGAGTTTACCTACAACATTCAACATTCAACATTCAACATTGTCCGTACTCAAGTTAACACATTCGGTAGAGAGTAGAGAGGTTGGAGGGGCTCCTATGTTACGAATAATCACTCGCGGGGGCCATTCACGAGGCCTCCACTGGCTAGAGCTTGTGTTTATACGTTGAGAGTACAGAGTGTAAGTGAGATAAAGAGAGTAAGAGGTTCTCAGTAGACCGTCACGCTCGTGAAAGACCCAAGACGTAGATTGCTTATCGAGGAACAGCAAAGCTAAAGAGAATAATCCACTGTTCTGTACCGGAAGGATCGTCCTCTTTATTTAATACGCAATAATACCCACTTTTTAATTTTTTAATTAATATGTTACTAACAATTTTGCAGTCACTTGTGAACTATAAATAAAGTTTTGCTTTTTAAATAATGAATTTTGTTTAATTGCACTGTACTTTTTTAAATATTGACGTTTTTAAAGATATAAGCTCATCCTGATGTTACACTCATCAAGAGCTTTCATTTGAGTACCCACATGCATTTTTATATATTTTTCATATATTCATATATATAATATATATAAAATATATAAAGAATTGATGTGGGTACTCAAATGAAAGGGCTTTATGAGTGTAACATCGGGATGAGCTTATATCTTTAAAAATGTCAATAGTTCACAAGATACAAGGTCATTTTTTAATTATTGACATTTTTTAAGATATAAGCTCATTTTGATGTTATACTCATCAAGAGCTTTCATTTAAGTACCCACATGCATATTTGATATATTTTTCATATATTTATATATCTAATATATATAAATATATAAAATATATGAAAAATTGATGTGGGTACTCAAATAAAAGGTCTTGATGAGTGTAACATCAGGATGAGCTTATATCTTTAAAAATGTCAATAGTTCAAGAGATACAAAGTCATTTCTTAATTATGTATTTAGAGATAGAGCATTTTCGAATGCAGTCAAGATAAGAAATTTTCTTAATAATATAAATTGTTAACTTTGATTATTTTCAGTATCGTGAAAAATAAAGTTAACTCTCTGTTGGTTTAATCGATTTTTATTTCTTATCTGTACAAAGTTTACTCTATCTAGAGATTTTGTCCTGTTATCCTGGGTATTCATTGAATTAAAGGGATAAAGAGCAGAACGCTTTGTCGGAGCAGAACTTCTACTCGGTAATTGTTGAAAAGTCGACAATAAAAAATTTAATATCCTGTCTTATTTTATTTATAATTTTTAATAGATATTGCGGTGAAAGATTATCGGAGAAATATTGTCCATTACCCGGGAGCGAAGACCCGAGACGAAAAAGGAGTAGAATGTGAGTCAGGTTTAAAAGCTCGACACCCAGAGGTTATTAAATTCTAGCTAATGGTTAATGGCACAGGAGTTATTTGACGGAGAGTGGTGGGTGTGCTAAAGGTACAAGGGAAGGTTTGTAATGTAGGTCCCTCGATTTACCAGCACGACAAGTTCACTGGTAACACCCGTCGTATTTTAACCGCCTTGAGGAAAATATACACCGATATAATATTGCTTTTACTTCATATATATATATATATATATATATAAATGAACTGGTGCCCGTTTGTATTCCGGTGGCGCTCGCTCGCCAGCTGAATAGAAACAACGTTAAAGTAAAAAGGTTTAAATGAAAATAAAGTCCAATATAGTCGGGACCGGGGCGGGCGTACCGTTGAGTCTAGTGCAAAAGCTAGTGAAGAAAAGACGAATGGCCTTGTCTATGTTTATTATGCCATGGCAATACAGGCCATGGCAAATTATAATTAATTGCCCGGTTGACACGCGAGGGAAATAGAAAGCAATAGGGCCATCGCTAATTATTTTCTCCACCGACCTAATTGAACACTAATAGACTCGGGAAAATGAAACTCGGTACTTACGAACGTTCATTATTTTTTATTGACAACATCGTCATCTATATTATTAAGAGAATAAGTGAAAATTTTTATGATTAAATTTGGTATCGTTGGAAAAGTCTTGACTTGAATTTGTGTTTTTTCAAGATTTCATAAATTTATGATAAGTATTTAGGCTGCATTCGAAAATGCTCTATTATATCTCTAGATACATAATTAAGAAATGACCTTGTATCTCTGGAACTATTGACATTTTTAAAGATATAAGTTCATCCTGATGTTACACTCATCGAGACCTTTAATTTGAGTACCCATATCAATTTTTTATATATTTATATATATTATATATATGTATATATAAAAAATATATGAAAATGCATGTGGGTACTCAAATAAAAACTCTTGATGAGTGTAACACCGGGATGAGCTTATATCTTTAAAAAGGTCAATATTTAAAAAAGTACAGTGCAATTTAACAAAAGTCATTATTCAATAAAGCAAAATTTTATTTATTTATAGTTTAAAAATTACGGCAGTCGCATAGTGACTGCAAGGCTGCTAGTCTGATCATTATTTACCGAGTTGAGAAATTATTTAGCAATAAAAATGTAAAAATTTCACAAATATCGAGTTCTAATTAGGTTTTTAATTAAATAATAATAAATTTCCCGGAAAATAATTATTTAATAATTACAAAATAAGTGTTTGTTTTAATTACGCGGTAGGTTAGTGAAAAAATATTTTCATAACAATACAAGAGCAAGTACAAGTACAAGAGCAAGCGCCGCCTGTAAAATATAATAGAACGGGCTGAGAATGGTGCTACTTGCACTCTCACACCTTGCACCTCACCCGACAACGACTACGACCTATCATTCTATTCGAATGAGCTCGGTACGTGGCTGGAATACGGAGCGATCTCTTAGTCGTCCTTTAGTGTACAAATATCCCTCACCCTCCACCTCAACCTCTTGTTCCTTTTCTTCTTTACACTTTACTCTTATCCACTCTCTACTCTCAACTTTCATTAAATTGATCCCCTATCTCTCACTCTCCATATGCATAGACTATTTTAACTCGGATAATTTGCATCGCGCGATTTCACTTTACCAGCTTAGCTCATTTACTATTTTATACCTATTACATTCTCGGCTCTAATTATTCCCTTATTTTTCGGTTAACTTGATCACTTTATTTTTTTTATAAACCTTTACACAAACACCAACACTTGTACACATTGTTTTTCGTATTTAATCCTTTTAATTCCAAGAAAATAATTTTAAATTCTAAATTCCGGGTCAAATATCAAGTACAAAAAAATTATTTAGAAAATTAAAGTCTCTACAAAAATTGTCCTTAAATAAATTTTTAATTACAATTTATTTTAAAAATTCAATTTTAATTTAATATCAATTATTAACTTTTTTATTTAAAATTTAAATTACAGGTTAAATATCAAAGATACAAAAAAATGATATGTAGAAATAAAAAAATGTAATTTTTTTTTAAATAATTTGTTTGTTAAATAAAATTAAAAAATTATCAAATAATTGCTAACTTTAATATCAAATTTTTATTCAAGTTAATTTGGCGTAATATTTGATAATTTTAATTATATTTTTTCACAAATTATGACAAAAAAAAATTGTCATCAATTTTATCGTATCGTCTTTAAAACACAATATTAATTTTTAATCATTATCTGGCTTAGAAATTTTTATATCGCGCACATTTATTATCACTATTATTATTATTATTATTATTATTATTATTATTATTATTATTAATATTGTAAAAAAACAAACACTTGTAATAAATAATGATTAAACAAATTTATGTAAAGCCGGCCGAGAGTATTCCGCGGGTGAACGGTAATGCGGTAAATGCCGCTGATTAAGCCCACCACTTTGGTTATTATCGACAAGATTAGATAAGGACGGCGATGTGCATGTACGCCCAAGTATTTCCGTTATTACTCCGATACAAATGTGTATTCGACTAAAATCCTCTCCTCGCTTCGTATCACCTCCCCCCGGATCGGTATTTCGGCGAGAACCAGGCACGCAAGCATAATTAGAATTAGGTTTACTTAACTGTGTCTCGAGCGAAGAGAAGGGATTTGATTAATAAAGTCAAAGGTCACTTTTTACGGCGATCCAAATCGTGTAAGATGCTATCAAAGTTTATATGTTTATATATTTCATCGGTCGGTCGGTTTTAATGTCCACTTACCGGGTCTTATTATGTGTTTCTTTTTATGCGTATTTATATCGGGTCAAGGTTAACGATGAGTTGACGTTTATTAATGCTTTTTCAAGAGCTGATAAGCGACATTATGTAAAAATATTACTGTAAACAGAAGCATCGTTATCAATTTATCATTATCGTTACATATGTTAGGAAAATATGTTTTTTTCTTACCCGAAAAATATTTAAACAGCTTTTAAATTAATATATTTGCCGCGTGTGTGGCTAGAGTTGGAGTTTTAGAGTTGGTGATGATAAAAGGAGCCAATTTAAAAGTTGAATTGTATCGGCCGGGCGATCGAGACGATTTGTCACGGGTCAAGGCGATATTAACCTCGAGACGTGAACGTCTTCGTTAGGCTCGATTTATGTTTTCGCGAGATTCTTTTTATTTTCCGCCTATTTTACATGGGAGGTCATTGAATTTAATTTTTTAGAGTTGGAAAAGGTTTCCTAGAAAAATACCGTGTCAGGGTTTTATTTTATTTTATCCTTAGTCATCTGAATAATTTATGGTTTAAAAATTTAAGTGCAGTAGAATTATTAAAATTAATTCAATACTGATAGAAAGATTCGTTGATATTTAATAAACTTTATTGAATGTTGATAAATGATTTTTTAATGTCAGATTATTTAATAGTTAATCAATCATTTGTTAAATACAATTTATCGAGTTATCATAAATATTCATTTGTAGTTTGTAAATATTTGTTGATAACTTTTTATTTGGACCTTTGAATTAAAAGTTAGTGTTGAAATTATTTATTTTATTTACTCGTTTTTATGGCTCCATAAAATCGGTAAAAACTTCCAATAAATTTAGTAGGTCAATAGTTTTTTTTATAAAAAATCAAAATAAATAGTGATGACAATTGTAGAATATTTTTTTTTGTGTAAATTATTAATTCAATTTTAAAAGCAAGACTTATTTAGTTTAAAAAATAGTTTCCTTTAGAAAATTATTTATTGAAAATAATAAATTGATTTTAAATAAATTAATTTATCAACAGTTGATTTAAAATTCTTCTATCAGTAAATTAATTTATTAAATTTGGCTCTATAAATATAGAAACAATTTGATGTATTTTAATAAGTTTGTTCGTAAAAATTAAATTTTTTATTAGTTTAGATTTAATAAATTTTTCCTATTCAGCAAATTTAAAAAAATAAAAATTTAAGTGACTTTTTTTAACAACTTAGCAGTTAATTTAATTTTAAATAAAGCAGACTTAGTGAAAGCATAAAAATTTTTATAAATAACAATACAAATATGATAATAACCAGTGATATTACCAAACTCTCTCTATATGTATATTAGCTACTTAAAAATGTATGCATAATCGATTGAGTAACACACCGTAGAAAGAACCGATAGATAGGATGCGATATGTTCAGTTATTCGCATAGCAGTGACCAGTCTCTCTACGTACTACGGATTCGTCGGTGCGTACCACGCAATAATTCCTCCGCAACGTAATTTCCGGTAGCGTTACATTGCGCCAACAGCGTTTGTCGTTCATTTCGTTTCTATTCCTTTGTAGAGCCCACATGGGTTTTATGATGCGGGCGCCACTAATATGACCCCTCCCCGGCTCTTTACTCAATAAAATTACTTCATTTTATTTTTTAACCCCCCACTGGACCCTGCAGTAGTAAATAGAGCCCTTTCCGATAAATCTAGCCGCTTAAAATTTTTATTAACAATACTATTGGTTTAATTTTAGCAGCAACTCAACAGCCTGTTATTTTATTAGTAGTTTGTAGTTAGTGGTTGTTTTAAAATATCTCAATATATTTTTATTTCTGATGACAGTACTGATAGCAATAATAATAATACTTTTACTGGTACTGATACTGATGGTAATACGCACAAGAGCAATTACAATAAACAAATTTAATTACGTGCAACATGCAGCATTACATTCCGCGGAATCCATTCCACAGTAGGTATCAATATTATCATTATTATTATTATTATTATTATTATTATTATTATTATTATTATTATTATTATTATTATTATTATTATTATTATTATTATTATTATTACTGTACTCCCGCATCGAGCATCTCTTTAATTTTTCCTATCATTCCATTCACAACACAACAAATTTACCCGATTAAATAATTCAGCAGAAATGTAAATTTTTCAGATATATATTGTGGGGTAGACACACGTGAATTTATTATTTCAAACAAACGTTGAATAAATTCGGGTGTTCGTTAGTTACCAAATCGATCGGGTTACACATTAAACATTAAATATTGGATTTTCACTCTAAAAACGTCCAGAGTCTTTTATTTTATTTTACGATTCTATTCTATGCCAGTCTCTGATGTTAAATCGATCCAACGGGTGAAACTTAATATTCACTGAATATAACTCACGCTCACGCAGCTGATAAGCGAACCATGAACTCGTCGTCATCGTGGCGGCTAGTCAAATATTATATTATTATATTCCATTGCATTATTTTTAACATTATCATTATAATTATTGGATTAATTTACTATACCATTTTAGTAATCTTTTTTTGTGTAATCATTATATCACATCAAGCTAGTTCATTGTTGTTATCGTGTTTTATTTAATTCAATTAACTTTTAAGTGCAGCGACCAAAGACGAAGCGTTAAATTAATCACACTGCCAAAATTTTTGGTGTCTAATTTTTCCTCAATTTTTATTTTACAAAAAATATTCTTTAAAAAATTATTCACTCATGTATAGTAAATATATTTTTAATAACTAACTTTTGGCCGATTTTCATATATATTTTCGATATATTTAAAATATATCTTAAAAGACATAAAAAAACATAGCTAAAAATATATTTTGAATACATATAAAATATATTTGAAATATATATGAAAATCAGCCAAAAGTCAGTTATTAAAAATATATTTACGATACATCTTTTATATAGATTTTTTATGTATTTCGAAATATATTTTTTTCATGAGGGTTTTAGCAGTGTAAAATTGAAAAAACAGTACAAAAACGATTTGATGAAAAGGGAAGATGATTGTTATCATTACCTTGATACTCAGTCCTGCAGAGATGCGATTTTGGTGGCGGCGGAGGGGGTGCGTTCGAGTACTCTATGAATGATCGAAACAAAAATAAACAAAAATGATTTTTTAACAGCGATTTTTAAACTATAAATCTCTAAATCCGTAAAGTATTTACAAAACCACAACATCCTCAGATCTATCGACAATAAGATTGATTACTGCTACTGCATTAACTAACAATAATAATTTATACAAATATAATATCAAGACAATATTTATAGATGGGCTTGCGGACCTTCAAAGGTAACAGTAGGCTTAGCGGTGTAGGTAGGAATAGCCGGCCACCAACTTTTAGCCCTCTTCTCGAAATCCGCTCTCGCCCTCAGATTAGCTGGGTCGGGCAGCGGAGGGGTCGGCGGTGGAGGCTGGTATCGGAACTTGGGCCGGTGCTTGCTCGGATCAAAGGGCTGATTAGCGAAGGGATCCGCTTGCCGCTGCTTCAGAATGGAGGTCGGGGTGCGAGAGCGAACCGGAGACACCGAGACCGCTCTTGGCCCTTTGACCCTGTCAACCTTGCTCCTCTCCCTCGGCAGCGTCCTGGCACACACGTTAGCACTGGAATTAACACCAACATTGCCCGAACTAGCACTTGAAGTCTTGACGTGGCTCCTGGTCTCCAGAGACCGAGACTCAAGGTCCGGAGGGAGCGACAGAGAACGACCGTTGTCACGTCGGCTTGGATATTTGTGGGCAACCCACCGACCCGCGAGGTACGGCGCAATGTCCCGAAGCTCGTGCACGTCGGGCGTTGATGTGAACATTTCACCAAGAATAGAAGGCTTCCCCTCGGTGCTCCTGGCGCAGGAATCCCCATCCATCCTCTCAAACTTGTCGCGGATCCGGTTAACCGGTCGCTGGGCCTCCAGCTCCTCGGTCTCTGCTTTGATGGCCAGGGAAGTAGTCGAACTGGAGCGCGACATCGCACTGTCTTTAAGCTCCGCGGTTTTGCTGATCACGTTTATGTGCGGCATCGCGAGGTCTTCGAGTCGCAGCGGAATTCGCGGGATTGGTGGCGACCTACTAAGTCTTCTCTTACTTTTTCCCCTCGGCCCCAGCTCGTACTTGCGCCTCAGCCACGCGACATCCGTGACTTCTTGAGTTTTGAGCAATGAGCTCCTCTTTGACTCGGACTTCTTCAACAAATTCCGCGTGATTTCAGGGTCGCTTTGGAACCGCTTTGGGCTGAGAACGAACTTTGCCCTCTCGCCGGACAATTCTTCAAGACTCTCGAATTTTGCGCGGAGCTTCTTGACCGCCCCGTGCTTGACCAGGTTCAAATACGCGCGCCAGTAGTGCTCGGGGTCCGGGGAGTAGCAGCGGTGCTGAAGGGACTCGAGGCTGCAGGTCGAGGTGGAGACCCGACAAGGACTGACGCTGCGCGGGCGAGCGGGTTCTCGCTGCGAGTGGGAGGGAAATCGCCCGGTTGGAACATCCGGCGAAGCGGAAGTACTTCTTCCTCTTCCTCTGGCTGAACTGTGCTCGCTTCCTGTTCCCGGGGACGAGTGACCGCTTTGGCCCAGTGTACCGTAACGCGCTGACTCCATTTCCCCGAAGAGTTCCTTCAGATCCGCGAAGCTCTGCGAGGAGGAAAGCTTGCTTCTTTTTCCGAGGGACTTATTTTCTTCTTCCGATCTTTTTTCCCGCTGGATTTTCTCGAAGAACTCGACCTTCCGAGGAACTGCCTCGCACTGCACCACCGTCTTAACAGAATTTTCCGAGCTCTCGGTGGTGCTGTCTATCTCGCTGCTGGAGGCGTTCTTAATTCGGCTGGAATTTGCGGGTGACTTTTTCGACCACTCGTCCAAAACACTCTCGACCTTCCTTCTGGCAGCTGGGCTGTCGCCGTTGGGGGTCAGGACAAGAAGAAAGTCGCTCTTGTCTCTGTCCCGTGACTTTGAGACGTTGTCGTCGACAGAGGTCTCCAGAGAGTAGCAAGTTCTCGGGGACGTATTAATTGCCGCAGCTGATTGACTTGTATTCTTGACAGAAGCTGCTGCAATGGCGCCGAGAGTCTCGCGGGGAGCCAACGGGGACTTTGGTTTTTTTCTTTTCGAGACTTTATCGAGAATTTCTTTTCCAAGCGTGAGCGAGAGCCGTTTTTTCTCGGTTTCGGTTAATGAAGTGTGGGTGTGTGGGTGTAAGGTACGACCGTTGCTGATCGAGTCGCTTCTCTTTAGCGAAGAAGATAATTTCCCCGAGGAGCTGGAGTTGGTAGGAACTAGCATCGAGTGACAGCGGACACTGAGCCCTTTAACTTCTTCCAGTCGATCACCGAATTCATGAGACGGGACGACAACTTCGAATTCTCCAACGCTGGCTTTAATTTCTCCAACCCCAGCTCTAGTTATAGTTTTTCTCCTTCCAGGTTTATCTCCATCAGAACTTTCTGACGGATAACTCTGTTTAATATTCTCGGCAAAGCTAATTTTTTCGTCGACGTCAAAAGACTTTGTGTACATTTTCGGTTTATCCTCAGAGCCGTAGATTTCATTAAGTTGGCTCTTCAAGGCGTTTACTTGCTCAACGGAGAGGCTGCTCCAAAACTTTTTGCTCCCCCCGAGGTTCCTCTGCAAGTAAGAGGGCTCTGATTTGTCGCACTCCTCAGATATTGTTTGTTTACCCTCTTTGCTTTCCTTGAGAGTGTTGGCTCGCTGCGTTATACTGCTCGCCACATTCACCACCGAGTTGCCCCGCCACAAAGGCTTGTAAACATCCTTCTTAGCGGATATCTCGAGACGTCTGGTTGCCTCCAGTTGGGTGTCCTCCCTCGCGAGCCGCCTGAAACTTTCCCTAATATTTTCGACGGATCTCTCCTTGCACCTCAAACTGCAGTCCCCGTGCCATCTGTACTTCTCCAAGTCCTTGGTGGTGAAGAGAAAATCCTTTTCCCGTTGGACGGCTCTCAGCTTACCGTAAATGCTCTTGAGCTCTTCCTCGGCACGTTCCGCCGATCTAATTTCTTTCCACTCGTCGTAATCAATAATATCTTCATGCTTGAATCTCCGTCTGAGATCCCCCGCTGACGTGCTCTTCTCCAGTTCTCCCATTCGCTCGAGACTCGCATAGAAATCATGCAAATCCTTGTACCTCGAGGATTTTTTTTTCGAATGCACCATTTCGTATACGTACCGCTGGTACTCCTCTTTGTTATTCGTCGGATAAGATTCCAGGGAGCTCGTGCTTTTTGCAAGAGATAAATTCGATCCGAATTTTCCCTTTCCGATTTCCTTTTTCCGCTGCTCGTCGTGGACTTCCCCGGCGCTGCGAGCCCGCGTCTTTAGCTGCGGAAACGCCTCGTCTTGCCGGAACGACCTGATTCTTCTGGGGACCGCAGACCGGGTAGGCGACGGAGAAGGCGATCTCGGAGGCAGATGGACAATCCTTCGCGTGATTTTCTCATCCACCGACGAAACTTTGATCGGCGGTTCGCTGAGACTTCTTTCTTTGATGCTATCGCGGTCCAATTCGGGGCTCCGACTGCCTCTCAGCGAGCTGGAGGAGCCGAACTCCTTGGAGATAACTTGAAGACTGTCAAACTTGGTTATCTTCTGGAAAATCGATCGCCCCGGCCAGCTAACGGCGAACGGATTAGGACTGGAGCTTCGTGAGGAAAAACTCTCACGTTCCCAGTTCTTGAAGCGCGAGTTAGAGACTGGCTGCTTGGTTGCCAAGTAGACGTTGAGTGATCTCAAGGATGGCTCAGACTTGAAACCAGCAACTTCTTGAAAGATTTTCGCTCGTTCAATCACCGAGGAACGTCTCGGAGTGCTGCACTGAGAGGAGAACGGGGACTGAGAGATATTTCTCAAAAATAGGTTCTGGAAGAAGTTATCAGTACGTGTCACCTCCTGATGCTTTTTAATCCGGTCCATTGTCACCAGTTGTGCTTGCGTAGTTGTGTTTGCAGTAGTAGAAGTAGTTGTGGTTGTTATTGTTGGTTTAGTTGTCGTTCCTTTAGTTCCTTTAGTCGTAGTCTCTTGTACTCTCTTGTCAACTTTTTTCAAACAATTCACCGCAAGTAATTTTTCACAACTTTTTTTTATCTTTCTCTTCTCCGGCTGGGAATGGGAATCACTTTTCCCATTACTTTTTTTCCTACCAGGATTCCCGGCAGCACTTCCAGCAGTACCTTCACGTACTAATTTATCTTTTTTCATTCCAATTTTTTTTTTATAAAACTTTATTTCTTGATCTTCAATAACTTGCGACTTTTTCAATAGAGTTTTTACAGGAGGTTGAACCTTATCACGGATTCTTTTACTTCCAACAACAACACTTGTACTTTTAAACTGCTGCTGCGGAGATGGTATTGCCGTAGTCGTCACGGCGCCTCCCTTTAATTTAGTTGTCGAGGATTTTTGTTTACAAGTCTCGAGTAAATTTCCGCGTCTTGCTGTCAGAGAAGCTCCAGAACAAGAGCCAGAGCCAGAACCCGAAACCGGAGATCTACTTCTTATAACAACGTTGCAACTCGATCTCGTTTTTTCCAGTTCCCGAGTCTCAGACTTGGAGATAACTTTTGTCGACGATAACCCGGTCTCTTGGCTCTTCACTCGTCTCAGTGACACCGCCTTTCCACCACCGACGACAGCCCCAGTTAATGTGTTTTCCACGTCAACGTTAACGTGTCGCCGTCCGTTAACCAGAACCCTGCAACCCGAGTGAACAACTTCCGCGTGAGATGATGACGAGGACGATAAGTAAACCGATGAAGAGCCTCCAACTGATGTACTGCCCAGCTTTGAACTTTCTTCAGGTTCTTTTCTTCGTCGAATTTTAGTCTCCTTTTTCAACGGCAAACTTGTCGGATAACTTTTTGAACGATGTCCGTCCTGAGCTCCTGTCAAGGATTTAGATTGTACTTTTGATAAGGACTTCTCCTCAACTTGTCGAGAGCCTGGAGAATTAACAGCCGAGGAAGTGGAAGGAGTAGGAGGGCTGACTGGCCGCTTAGTCAAACAATCCGGTTTCTTCTTGGCACAAGTTAAAGCCGTCGTCTTGATCGGCGAAGCTGAAGGAGTTGAAACTTTCGGACGGGAACTGATCGAAGCTGTTAAACTCTTGCGTGCAATATCCCGACCCTGTTCTTGCTTCAGCAACTTGTTGCTCAGCCTCTCTCTGAGGAACCTTATGTTAGAGACACTTTCTGCTGCAAAACACTGCTGATGCCTCCTGTTAGAGCTCCCAGTTCCAGAAATGTACAGCTTAAGAGTCGCGTTGTCTTTCGAGGACTGCCTTCTGGGTGGCGAAGGGGGACAAGGCCTCGTACTTGAACTCGTATTGTTCGCTCGTCGGTAACGTCCGCTAGAAGACATCGAGCTTGTCGACTGAGTGTGTTTTCTGCGGACGCGAATTCTCGTCAATGTCGACGAAATCGGAAAGTACTGGATCTCAGTGTCGTCTGAAAAATTTATATTTACCTGTATTGATAAGATTTGTACTAGAGGTTTAATAAGTTATCCTTGATCCTCGCGCCCAAAGTCAATGCATTTTGGTAAACAGCTTTGTGCCGGTGATATTTTTTTCCTCCTCTTGTTTGTGGCCTTTGTGCGGGTGAAGGTTATATAGCAGAACGCAGGTTTTTAATTAAATTAAAAAAAATATAGATCGTAACCTGAATCCCGTTATCGATAGATCCTTAGAGAGCAGTGCCGATAGTGTTTATTGCGCCCTTTTTGCTTGATATTTAAATATATTTAGAATTTAATAAGAACTAAATGTGCGGTGAAGTATAAAATATAAAATATAAATGAAAATATGAGAGATAAGATAAAAATATAAATGCGCTAAGCATTAAAACTTAAAATTTATTCGTGAGATTTTCCGATGTCATGCATAATATTTTATTCATTCAGCTCTTTTTGTAGGAGAGTATAATAAAAATTAATAAAACGCTTGCACTACACTTTGGATTAAAAATTTATAAAAAAAACTTAAGCTTGTGTGTGTTTTATTTAATTCTTTTGATAGAAAAAAAAGCGATTATAAAAACTGATATGAAAAAAAACTGACGTACCTTTGGGTCGTTCGGGGGCGAGTTTTCTTAGCCCGTGTAGAGGAACGTCGCCGCCCTTCTGCACTGTCTTGTATGCCACTCGCTGCTCGAGAGGACTCAGAGGACTGACGTCATCTCGTCGACGGAAAATAAGCGTTGAGTCGCTCTCGTATCCGGACTCTTTTAGTGCGCTAGAAGAGATTAATAAGTTGAATAACGAAAATGTTATTTTTATTTAGCAATTCAAGTGCCAATTTTAATCGTATTAATAACTTACTGACTCATGTAGGGCTTGGCCGTGTGAGGATTGTGCTGATCGAACGGCTGAAAAATTAAAATTACAAACGTTAGTCAAGGACTTTATCCGCAACAAATAGATAACATTATATTTAGAGTCAATGATACTTATGACTAATCATGCGAAAAAAAATTATATACACCCAGGCACGGATTGCTGCTAATGTACATCACATTATGATTTGATTTGATATGACTAATGAGAGCGGCACGATTATGTTATGCATGAAGACAAGGAGGCTCAATATCAGGAGACGCTTTGAATGAGATTTCGATAATGATTGCGTGTTACATAAATATGTAGCCCTCATGCGTTAATATTGTTACTAAGAAGCGTGATAAAGCACGATGATGATGTGTCAATAACTATAATTAGGTTTATGATTGCGATAAGATGCGTATGTACAGTTGGAAATTTATCGGGTGGAGATGATTACTGATTGGTGATAGCCAGAGATGGATTGGACTATAAATTTGGATGATGGGTGGGCTGTTTGAACCTGAGGTGCATCAAAGTGCCTTGACACTGGAGTATTGATTGCAGTTAAGCTTCCTAATGATAACTGATACGCAATATCTACGGGGTATAATATTAAGATACCATTTGTCGGCATGATTACGGAAGTAGTTTTCAATTTTTGACCAAAAATTGTAATTTAAGCTATTACACAGAAAAAAAGGTTTACTTGAGCCAAGAAAATATTTTTCTTCCTAATTATTTTCTTGAGCGAAAAAAAATTTTTTTTGATAAGAAATTTCACTTATTCAAACAAAATTAATTCTCTTGCTTTAAGAAATACGTATCTTGATCCAAGAAAATTTATTTAAGTCAAAAAAATCTTGTTGTTTTGAGAAAATTCAGCCTCTTGCTCTAAAAATTAAATATAAAGATAGAAGTAAATTTTTATTAATATTTTTATTGATTAACATATCAAATGGGAAGATCAAATAATATTTCATCATTTTTTTTTATTCAATATGTAAATTGCACGCTAAAATAATATAAAATGGGTATCAAATATTCAAGAGAAAAATTTTCTCAAAAGGTGAGAAAATTTTTTTCTCATACGTAGGTGGCGCTGCTTCCCTAAAGTATCTCAAAATCTTGATCAAATATAAAAATTAATTGTATCAAGTATTTATGATAATTTGAATTAAGAAAAAATTACTTCCACCAAGAATAGAATTTCAAGAGAAATATTTACTTGGGTCTTCCTTCAGACACCCGACAATTTCCTTGAGCCAAGAATTTTGTTCTCCAGTCAAGAAATTTTTCTTTCTGTGTATTTTTTTTTTTTTTTTCATGACATTTATTTTACGTAATCATTAAGATTCCACACCTACTTGATCGTATAAAGAAATATATTCAAAAATCGATAATACAGGAGCCTAAGTATCAAGTAACTTATCAAAAGTTATAGTCCATTAAATTTTTGAATAGAAATGTCTTTTGAATAAAGCTCACCGAAGATTTACAACCTTTAAAACCGGAATAATTTAAAGTACCATTGTTTTATCGTAAAAAGCAAAGACTATAACCATAAAAATGCCAGCAATTCTAACGAAAAGAGAGCAATAATGATCGTGCAGTATTTATTATAAAATAAAATAAAAGACAGATAATAAAAATGTCGGTGAGAATGGGGGCTGTCTAACCCGTGAAGGTGATGTCAGGGCCGTCTCCGCGACAGAATTGTTCGTTGGTGGCGGTGGTGGTGGTAGCATGGTAATATGAATGGTGCTGGAAGAAGAAGAAGAAGTAGAAGAAGATATGGATGGATCGTGATGCTGCCGCTGGTTTATGCCGATGCTGTTGTTATTGATGACATTCGCGTGGTTCCGATGGTTCCGCGGACTCGTCGCTGGAACACTGAAGAGAGACTGCTTGTTCGAGCAGGAGGACGAGGAGGAGGACCGGTTTATCAGCAAAGGAGACCTGCGAGTCGGGCTGCTGCTGGCCAGGCTCTTGAGTTTCTCCTCGATACTGCTGCTCGAGTGTCTCTGGTCTTCCTCGGGCTTCACCGTCTCGTCGATGAACCCAATGAGCATCGCGTCCTCGGTTTCGTTATTTCCAGCATGCTTGGAGTGTCTTTTTCTCACGGAACTGCCCTTGGGAGACTTCAGCAGCGAGTAGGGCATCCGCTCGCCGGAAATCATCGACTTGGACCGACTCTGGCCCAGAAGAAGGCTCACACTGGGTGGTTCCGCCCTGTAGGCTACTGAGGGCTGGCAATCCGAGTCAATTGAGGGAGAATTTGTGTCGCTGTCGTGCCCCGTGTGCTCCAAAATGGCCTTGGTGGTCCTCAGGGAGCTTTTTGGGTGCAAAGACTGCGTGGTTGATGATTTTGAAGACGCAACTGTTGTTGAAGGCCTTGAATTGTGGTTGCTTCTCACCAGCAGCTGGTGCGTCGGTATGAACGTTCGCAGCGCCATCGGGTGTCGAATCTGGGACTTCTTTTCCTCAGCCTTGCTCCGGGATTAACAAGTTTTGAGTTTTAATTAGCTTGCGGGGGTTAATTACAATTCATTCTTGGATTTGTTCAATTCTTACCGCTTAAAGACTTAATTTATTTTATTTTTCTGGGTGGTACTGATTATTGAATTTATGTCGACAATGATTCGAATTTTAGAAAGCGATCATGGTGTTTAGAAAGTTTTTGACAGAGCTTCGAGGCTTCCGGTTTCATGTTTTGGGGTTTAGAATATACGGAAGCGCATTTAACTTTAAAATTACATGCACTTTGATATAATATGTAATTTTAGTTTGGGTTTTACCTAGTACCGGAAGCTCGAACTGGTGAGGGATGTTAGCAACTGAGCAATTAGCGATCTTATAAGTAGAGAAATACACTGATAGAAGAATTAATTAACTGTTGATAAATTTATTTAATAGAAGATATTTTTTTTAAACTATTTAATAAATTATTTGATGTTAAAATAATTTAATTGAATGAATCTTAGTTGCAAAATTAAATTAATAATTTAATTAAAATAAAATATCATCTTATTCATTATTTATTTTATTAGTCATATTTTTTTTTAATAAAAAATTCAAATTATGGAAGTTAAAAAATATGAATTATTATCAAAAATTAATCATTTGTTAATAAATTAATTTATTAATTATGCTATTGAAAAAAATTTTTTAATGTTAAAAAATTATTTATAAACAGTTAATAAAGCTTATAAAATACAAAAAAAAATTCTTCCATCAGTGCAGTAATAGTAAAATGGATATTTAGTATAAAAAGTAGCGTACCCTATCAAATATGTCCATGACCTCGTCCCACCACTAAAAAAAATACAATTTGCGTTATACTAGGCATTTTAATTAAAAAGTTAAAATATTAGTGTACTTAATTGCAACCAATCAGCACTTTTGCAATTATATGTCAATGAACTACCTATATTTTATTATTATTATTATTATTATTAAAGTATTACTGTGAGAAGCGTTCTACAAGCGTAAGAAAATCAATAGAAGAGATGTCACCGTATTTAGTGACACGAGTCAGATAAAAATAATTATCGGGTAAATATATTTTTAACAGTTGACGCCTGGCTCATCCATAAATATTTCCAGTAATTAAAAAATAGTCGCGAGTCTGAATGTTTTATTTATAGGTTTAAATTTTTAGCAAGTTTTCTCGGGAGACAAAAACTAGCTTAATTTTTTATTGACAATTTTATCATACTGGATCTTTAAATGACTAATTGCGATAAATAATTCAAAGTTCAATTGACCAAATTGGTTAGGAGCTTAATCAAATGGCTTTTCGAAGTTTTAATTAATTTAGATGTATATCTTTTTAAAAGTCGTGAATAATTAAAGTTATTGCCGTGATATATATTTTAATAAAAAATAAAGTTAAATATCTGGAGCTTTTGAAAATATTAAATATAAGTTTTATAAAGAAGCTTTCTCGCCATAAATGATGCTTATTAACGTCTAGCGGTAAGCGGATAAAGTTTTTTTTTTCTAAACCGTAAATTATTTAATACATAAAATAAATAATTAAGCAGTAATAGTAAATATAATTAAATTACTATTATAGTTTAAAAAAATTAATAATTATGATTTGAACGTTGGTGTGATAAAAAGTACTTGTTACCTTTTTCTTTTTAGTCACAGTCAGCTGAAAGTGAGTGATAACCCAAAACAAGTCATGTGCGTTATTAAATAAACATGTCCGTCATATTTTAATGAGATGATATATACAGCGAAAAAGTTACCGGGAAAAAAAGCTAATTATTTACCTCCTTGGTTTCTTTTTCCCCGACGCCGACTGCGGGGGTAGATTGACCCGGCTGATAGTTCTCGATGCGCCCTGGTTGGTTTCGATAAACTTCAGCGGTAGTTTTTACCAGCGCGCTTCTAAAAATACGCCAAATATTTCCATTAATAAATAACAAAATAAAATGAAATAAATTTACAAGATCTTAAACAACTTATCGCTCACTTTCTTGGCATCGTCGAGATCGACGAGTCATTTTCCTTGTTTCTTTGGCGTCTGCGTATGTCCAATGTCGCGGATTTGTCTGCATACGCACGTGGCTCTGGCTCGCTTAAATATCCGCTGCTGCTTCCGTGCCCGTATCTTAGACCTTAAAATTAAATTATCAAATAAAAATTACTTCAAAAATTAAAAAATTTTAGTTATTATTCACAAGTGGGGTCCACAATTTTAATTTTCATTTTTTTTATCAAAAAATTTATAAATTTTTTCAAAAATTTTGATATTCAACTTTCTTTTTTAATTGTTTTTTTTTTTTAATGTACTTTTCAAAAAAAAAAAAAATACATCAAAAAAAGATAAAATAGAAATTTTATCCAAAAACGAGAGCCAAAAATTTTTTCCAACTTTTAAAGGCAAAAAAGTTATCTAAATCTTTATTTTTTTCTCACGATATTTCTTATCATAAAACAAGAATATTTGTAAATAATAACCAAAATTTATAAAAAAATCACTCAAAAACAGAATCATATTTTTTAATAATTATTATTTAATGCCGCGACGGTAGTAATTTATACACTTGATTCTCTAGACAGCATTCGGGTAAATGTTTTATTTTCTCACTCTTTTATTCACCGTCTCAAGCGCAGTCGTTTTAATATTAAAGGCTTCAGTGCCACTGAAAAATATAAATAAACTTGGTATTTAAATTTAATTACTTAATTATTTAAGCTTGTATTAAATAAAACCCTCAAGCACCAGCTTTTAGGCTTCTAATTTTGTTATTATTATTATTATTACAATTATTTTTTCCGTGGCACCAAAGTATGTTACATTAGTAAACACTTTTTTAACATTAGTAAAGTTTACACGAAAATAAAAAGCAGTAGTAGAAAAAAAACAAAAAACTTTTATTTCATTAATTATAATTATAATTGTAGTTATAATATTATTATTATCATCGTTATAAATGCCAGCAGAAACAGATTATGAGCTGTTATTATTCTATCTACGATAAACAATATTAAGTAATGTATGTATACAAATGTATAGTTATATTGGCGTTGTTGTAGATGTAAAATAGCGAATATTTGATATAAACTATAAACTAATGAAAGCTAAATGCTAATTCAAGCTAAAGTTAAGCATCGTTAATATTAGTCGAGTAGCAATACACCGTACAGAGATATACGAATATATATACGAATTGCCGATGCAATAATTAAAGCTCGCAGCTGAGAAGATATTCACCTCGCCGTGGCTTGTATCGGATAGTCACGTAGTCATCTGCAAATGCGAAACGTTAATGTGTTGCTATTTTAACTCTATTAATATTCATACATAAAAAATAAAGTAATAATCATCATATTAATAGGATGGAGATACATATACGTCACTCAATTTATCTTTATACGTATTTCCAGCTATAAATAGATCAATCATATATAATATTTGTATAGTAAATTACTTTCAATGGGTTATTATTGAGTTACTAGGTTGTTATTGTTGTCATTTAACAATTGAAAGAGTAAAAATAATGTTTAACTGACCGTCTTTGCCGGCGCGGTGGAGCGAGTCGTACATTTGTTTGTACCACTTTGCTTGATTATCCTCTTTCACCTCCTGGAAAATATATACGAGCGTCAGAACTGTAAACTTCTAAAAGCTTTTGCGCTCCACTTTATTACTGTTATTCGCCTTTTCGTATTTTAGAATTTTAGTATTTAGCCTAAATAAGTCATTTTTAGTTAAAAAAAATATAAAAAATAAACTTACCGATCTTAGAGCAACTGGCATTCCGTTTTTGGTAATCGGTCCGATCCCTTCTATTTTTCTCGGGGTTTTCTTCATTTCGTTATCTTCTTTTTTCACCGAATTAACTATTTATATGTTTTTTTTTTTTAATTTTATTTCACAATTTTGTAAAAAAGTATAGCTGAGTCGAAATATAAATTCCAATTTGAGCCTCAAAATTCTTAGTGAGGTCTTTGAGGACCAATTTGAAATTCGACGGTCTAATTAGCAATTGGTCTAACTCCTTATTTTTTAGTGGGTGATTTTTTAACATTTTGATACAGCAATAGTCCCATTATAAATTATTTGAATGATACAAACCAAAATATTATACCTTTATTAGATATTAATGATATTAAATGGTTTTTTAAAGTGATATTAAATTTTGAATCAATTTTTTTTTTTCATACAAATGGAAGATTTTCTAAAATGAAGTTAGACAATTTGCTAATTAGAACGTCGAATCTCAATATAGAAAGTAATCCCGATTTGAACATCAAAATCCTACTTACAGACGATTTTACAACTTTGAGGATCAAAATAGAACTGCAGAATCTACGTTTGAGTCTCAAAATCCTCAAAATATTGTTAAATAATTTTATTAAAAATTTTAAATAAATATGGCTCAAAATTAAGACCTCAAAATCTCCAATAAGGATTTTGAATATCAAATTAGAGTTACTTTCTGTGCAGCAAATAAAATATCAAAGGAATTAAGGCTTCTGAGGATTTGTTTTTTGACTCGGGTAAAAAAATTTTTGTAAAAAAAATTTTTAAACAGATTTGTAGCCAGTAGCCAGTAGCCACTTCTGTGTTTGCAAAAAAACCGATTTATAAAAGTTAAAAAATAAAAATAAAAATACTAACGTAAATCTCCGGTGTCGTTATTTTTGAGGCAGATGCTCTCGTTGAGGTAGGCAGCTCCCTTGGGCAATTGACCCTCTGGAAAATGCAAAAGTAACAATGAACAATGGTAATAAAGAAGAGAGAACAAAGAATAGAGCGTAAAACACGGAGAATAAAAGTGTAACACATAAGTGGATCGTTGATCATGCAGTAAAAGTTGGCACGTGACAATTAAGTAAGATAAAGCGGGAAGATTTAATACAACTCACCTCTGGCCTTTTGCAGGAGAGTAATTGTCGGATTTTGCGCACGCGGCAGTCGCGAAGTGGTTGCGAGGGTGTTCAACCCTTGAGACGGCACCGAGTGAGAGTTAACAATCCTTGGGCTTATGTTGTAAGAACCATCCGGGAGGTTGTTCGTGCCATTGCTGGACGGATCTTTTTTCTTCTCCTGGGCCGGGGGGTGATCTTCGGACTGGGGGTGGCTCTCGCTCTTCCAGGGGGGCTGCGGTTGCGACACTTGCTCCGTCTGTGCAAAAACAATAAACCAGGACATATATCGCACAACAGATCCAATATAGAGCGGAGAGTACGATACGTGGCACGGAAAAGAGTATTAAGCTTATATTTTGTTCCGTCGGTTATTTCTTTTCTTTAAAATAGACTTTTCAATGCCAGTCACGTTTCACGTCCTCACTGACAGCTAATATGAATAATATCGGGCAAGAATAACTGCTTGTGTAACCGATCTCCCGTCGAACGTTTCAATGTTTCTGATGTTTCATTTCCTCAGCTCCATTTTTCGTTTTTTTTTATTTGATAGATTTATTTGCATTGATAGAAGGATTTATTAACTATTAACTTAATAATTTCATTTATTTGAAGACAATTAATTAATTTATTAAATTTTAACAAATATTTTTTAATATTCAATAAATATTTATTTGGGAGGAAATTACATTTATTAATAGTTAAAAAGTATTTATTAACAGTTCATAAATATTTTGTTGAATGAATTTGTTTCGCTTGCAATGTCATATGATATGAAGATTGCTTATAAACAAAAATCATCTTAATAAATTATTTGCATTAATTACATTACATTATAATAACGTTTATTGTAAAATACCAAATTCTATCACAGCTCATAATTATCTTTTATATTTTTAAATATTAAAAAGGTTAATTTATTTAGTGAATTTAATTATTATCATGTATTCCAGCTGTAGGGTTATAAAAAGTGTCAAAAGAAAATTGCTATTTTTGCTTTTTATTTTAAATAAATATTTGTTAGCAGTTAATAAATTGTACTTAATAAATAATTTATTAACTGTTAATAAATATTTATCCAATTCTATGATTTTAAAAAATCATTTATTAACAGTTAATAAAGATCAATAAATCAACAATTATTAAATATCAACAAATTCTACTATCAGTGTGCTTTTGGGGTTACCTGGGGCTTTTTTCTGCGACCTAGAATAGGACTCTCGAAGCTGACTGGCCGAAACTCCTTGCGCTCTGCAACAGGACTGGTTCCTGCGCTGGAAGGCGTCCAAACCGGCGGAATGCCGGCATCTCTTTCCGAATTCTTCCCTCGATCTGGGCTCCCGGGGTCCCGGTCTCGGTTGTAAGGATCGCTGCTGCTGCCTGGTGACCAAACACCTGTCGACATAACAAATCCTTCCTATAAATATTCCGCTTTTAGTCCCTCCACCCTAACAAATCCGCGCTTTTTTTAATTTACTAACGCAATATTCACAAACAAATATCACACAATATACGTTCTCATTTTTTCGACATTATTATTTAAACTCCACGGTTTGTATTAATACAGCGACATGCAGATTATAAAAGCTCGAGCTTTATGTCACACATTTGTTATTTATTCGGGAAAAAAATTAAAAACAAAATAAATTCACACGCTGTGGATTTTTATTATAAAAAATCGATTGTTTTATGCGGAATCTTTAAATCTCTAATTAAGTAGATTAACTTGTCGGGAAAATATAAATCGTAACGGTTGATCGAATAAACTTTTCATCGAATCGATAAACTGTAAGCCGTTGGCTAATTGCACCGGTTTATATTTTTATTTTTTCTTCAGGGATTAATTTTTAATGCAATTAACAGCGCTTTTAACTTTCTTGAATCATTGATCAGCTTATTATTTTTTAGTGAGCTTAAAAACACGGGAAAGCTTTTTTTGTTGAAGGTAATTTCGTGGAAACATTTGGGTCAACGGGTGACCGTCAAATAGTAAAAGCTTGTGATGCCAAAAGTTTTATGCTTTAGACGACTCACTGTAGATTCTAGACTGTAGACCGACTTATACAGTGAGCTAGTAAACTTTTGGCTGCTATAAAGCAAAACTTTGCTGATGAAGCCGAGCTACCGAGTACGTGTGAGCAGACTTCACTTAGTATCTTTCTGTCTTTATGTCTAATCTGCATAAGAATTACTGAAAAGTACACGTCTTTCAAATAACCTAAAAGGCATCATTTAACTTTGTTTTACATTTTTTTACACTATAAATAGATCGTTAGACAGCTAATTTAAATTTGTAGAAATTTTGATTGAATATGTTCAGAAATCTACCTGAAATTATAAAATTTCTTATAGATATAAAAGAAAATAGCAACCTTGTAGCCACTATGTGAACTATAAATAAATAAAATTTTGCTTTATTAAATAATGACTTTTGTTAAATTGCACTGTACTTTTTTAAATATTGACGTTTTGAAAGATATAAGCTCATCCCGATGTTACACTCATTAAGACCTTTTATTTGAGTACCCAAATCAATTTTTCATATATTTCATATATTTATATATATGAAAAATATAT